ACTTCCAGTTTGTTGAAATACACCTTGGCCTAAACGGTTTATATTTACAAATGTTTCAACTGTGCTCTGTTGTCATTCCAACATTGCACCTTGAGGATGTTTACCTATCACAACATAACATACCAATAAAACAACTTTATGAGTACAATTGTATAGAAAGGTTCATACAATTGCAGGTGTAAATACTAGAATTGAACTCTGACCTTGAATATCAGAAATGAGTGTATATGGGGATGTTTTTACACATGCGCATTAGTAACTGTAAAAAGGTCAGTGCTCTGATTTGTTGAATAAACTATGCAAATAACATGAAAAGGTAGGTGATGAAACTGTAAACTTACTGGTCTAGAAGAAATTTAGCAACATCTGCATGTGTCTGATTGTCAAGCTCAGTTTTTACTGTAAGGCACCACCCTGTTTTATCCCTGATATTTATTCTTGACAGATCTCATACTCATTTTTCTCTTTTGTTTCAACTTTAGCAGCAGACTCGCTCTCGTATTTCCAACTAAAAAAGTCTTCTCCGAGATTTCCTGCTAATCCACTATATTTGTTTCCCTACACAGACTACAGCCTGCCTAATGCCAGCTTCTATGCAGTTTGACAGATTCAGCGGACTGCGTTGCTTACATTGACTGCATACCCGCATTTCAGAATTGCATATCGATACACCCGAAAAACCACAGAAATAAACTCTTTCAAACTGCACTATTTAATATAATTCAGAATAACCTATTTGATTTCAGAATTTGAAAGGAGCACTTTAAAGTTTTAAGAAGAAACTATTTATCTGGAGTTAGCTCTCCGAACACACTAAGTAACTTTGTTCAACTCGTTTTTTTAAAGGGGTTGAAAAAAGGAATGCTTCTGCAAAACTTCATCTTTGTCAGACGTCTCACTGAGAGGAAACTGGGTGTAATCTAAGAACTGACAGGCTGAAGTTTTACTGCTCTGTGATACATGTCTGCTTTGTGCAGACCTCCGTGCGAAACAATAAATCGGTCTGCTAGTTACAGCACCCTCATTGAACATCGCTGATATTTATTACAGGCGCTGATATCAACTCCACCTGTTTTTGCCTCCTTTTCATCTGCAGTGTGACATGGAAACAGCCAAAGCACCCTAATTCCTCTCCCTCTCTTACTGAGCCGCCGCCACAGTGCCACCGTTAACTTGGATTTCTCCGACTCAGCAGGTGTGGGTAGTGGTGGTGGTGGGGGGCAAGTCCCGGCTATAATCAGCGACAGCCATCCAGTGTTTGATGCAGCCTGCTAGGAAACTGACTAAACAAACTGTATTAATAGCTCACGCTGCAGCCGTGACGCTGGAATCTGAGGCTTGAATTGCCAGAGGACAGGGAAGACCCCACAAAAGAGAAAGACGCGAYGGTGTGGAGAGAGGAATAATTTGTGAAAGAAACGGATTAAAATAAAGATATCTGTCACAGCTGCCAATATGTGTTTATGTAAGCGAACACAAGATATAGTAAGTGGGAAAAATGAAACCCAATATCCAMGTGTGCACAACAGACCAACACACAATGTAACTTTAAGCTGAAACATTGAACTTTTGTGAGATTTTTTTGTATTAATAAACATTATTCTAACGCTCCAAACTACTATCAATCCTTTTAAGTTAATTGCAATTTATAACTATTTATTATCATATATATTATGTTGCATACAACTTTAAGTGTATGTACTGTAGTTTTTAGGGTCAATAACTTGAACTGGGCAGAACAAGCTGCAGTTTTCTCTGGTGCAACACTTCTCTAAGGGATGGAACGGGGTACAACTGTGCCAAAAACAAGTCCTACATTCCTGACGGAGGTGTTGACATGCATGGGGACACGGACTGTCCGACGGCCAGGAGTTCAAGTTGCAGAATACTATGTGTGATGCGTTGAGTTTAGTCTCTTCAAAGACCAAAACCTTTTTTTAACTCACACTCTGTGACACAATGTATAAAGGATTGCAATATACTTTTGCTTACATCCAGGTTTGCAGTGTCAAACTGTTTCCCACAACTTCAGTTTCTTCCTCCAGACAACGCTTGACTTGGTTTAAAAAAAAAAAAAAGAAAGAAAAGTTAGTCTCTTTTATCCTCCATTACTTTCTGGCTGTAGACTCTTAGCCCGGCCTTTTCCCGTAACAAGACCGCCTATTCTTTACAGCGATTGGCCCAAAGCACGTCAGTCAACAGCATGTCATGCATACATAGCTTTGGACCCTGTCAATAACAGCAGATAGCCGAATCTTATTGGCTTAAAACCACGAAATCAACTTTTTGTATCCTCGCGAAAAAAAAAAAAAAACCCCTAATGGCTTAGCTGCTGTTGCTAGCGTTAACAACAGGCCGAGCGCACATTGAAAGTGAGTAATAACAAGACTACAAACAGTTTCTGCGCTGACAACAAACACACTTGAACGCTAGTTTATCGACAACTCGAACGAGTCGATGTGTTTCAGTGACATTACTGTATTTTATGAAAAAACTCAACAGCAAAAAGAAAGAGGCAAACACTTAGTTGGTTAGCGGAATGACACTTGARAGCAAAGCGAGACAGACACAGTGAGTCCAAATGAAACCAAAGTGACAAACGCACGAACTTATCAGGAACAAGCACCGAGAAGTGTCGTCTGAAGCGAAAACTTGTACGACTTTTAGAAAGTCGACACATCTTGTTTAATTTAAAAGTTAACAAAAGTGTTTACAAACTCACCCTCGCGCCCCGCTTTCTGACTCCCCTCTCCTCTCTTTTGGAATTTGACACTCCCCTTGACGGAGAGACTTCTCGCGAGAATTCACGAGATTTCAGCAGCAAGCGTTGTCGCAGTGGTTCCCAAACTTTTTATCTTCTGACCCACAAAATATTCATGGCAAAAACTTGTGACCCCAAATATTACTGGTCTGAGTACACAAACTTTGTTAATAACCCTAAAAACACAGGCTTTTTGACAATCTAAACAGCTTATACACAAATATATATATACTTATTTATACTTATTTTGTGTTTTTGTAATAATTATAGGGAAAATATTATAT